GAAATTGAAATGTTAAATTCATAAAGAGATTCTTGCATTAAGTAGGAATGTACCTTTCATGCATTATTTAAACTACTTGCTATGTATTTCTACGTTATTATGTACTTCTAAGCACTGATAGCTGCATCTATTTTAGGAATATCTTTAAGAATCTATTACTTTTATCAGATATTCCACGATATTGTAATGTAAAATGACAAATAAGTACTTGAAAAATCAATGTAAACGGTCCACCCAAGAAGTAATTTATTCGCGTTGTTATTGTTGTGTACATACATAATAGAGTCTATACACATAGCAATGATGTCACCCTGCAACACACATGCCCATGCAAACACAACATAATTGTACTCACGTTTAGAACTACAATAATGGTGTGGTGGTTTACTGTATTTTCGAATCTACATTATTATTGCTCAACATCCGTTGCACACATTTTATGATTGTAATTTTAATAGGTAATAATGTACCTATTTTTTACTAGAAGATTAACTAGACCCCCGCGTGTTAATAGAGACTGTTAAAGATATTTAATAAAGAAACTAGGATGACCAACGACTACCTCAATACGCCATATTCATAATGTTTAATTATTCACAACCATGAGGTGTATTATGTACCTATTTAACATCGAATATTTACAATACATGATCACAGTGAAATGCTAATTGCTACTAAAATCGTGACAACACTGATTCATAACTTAGTTTATACTGGGTAACATTCTGAAATGTCACTTAGAAAATGTTTAACTTGTGTTTAGTTAATTTCGTAGTTAATACCGAAAAAATTACTGCAACAAACTTCCTTTTAACCATTGCAAATTGCCCAGGACCAATTTTCAGTTTTCACGGTTGGTCGGAAGCATCCATAATGGATGATCAATTTGCGGATGTATTCATATGCAATGCGTCTAGGTAATCTGAATCAGAATGCATCGATAGCATCTGTAGGACGGCGTCGTACCTATTATTCGAACGTAATCATGCCGCTATTGTTGTGTGTTCAATGTATGGTATGTTGTGAATGAATAGTGTATGGTTGTGATTACAGCACGGAGAGCGGGTGGGACAACCCGTTCCGTCCCGATGGTGATCTCAGTCGCGAGGCCGATGAGATTGTGTCGCTGATCAAGGGCGGCAAGCCGATCACCCCAACACCACCGCCTGCTGCAACCCCGCAGCTAGCCTGCGATGAAAAGGACGAAAAAGTGCAAGCGAATAATGTTAACGTAATAATATATTCAGTAATAACTATGTACTTAGTAATAATCGTCAATCCTTAACTTAAGAATACTTAAATAAAAGATGCAACATGCAACTTATCATTTTGATTGCATTGCATCTAATAATTTTGTCAAAGTGAAAGTTAAAAGCAGCTAGCTATCTCTAATTTTGTCTGTCCTTTCTCCATATTTATTAGATTCTACAATTAATTGGATTATACCATGGCATTGAAACTGAAACATATTCTGCTATCGATTCCAGGCTAATGCTCCACCATCGCCGCAGACGAAGCTAGCGAGCCCAGAGCAGCAGAGCACTCCGAAGGCGATGAACGGCACTAAGAACGGCGCGGCCGTGGCAGAAGTGCGCGCCGGACAGGTGGAGGTGCAGCGCTCGCCGCCCCAGGAGCCGCAGCAGCCGGAGCACGTGACCATCAGGAAGAAGCCCAAGTGCAAGTGCTGCGCCATCCAGTAAATGAGCCAGTGCGGTCTCTTCTTCGCTTCACACCGGTAACACGCTATGCTTTATGATGGCGTACTGCCAACCTTGGTGTTTACTCGGTGCTAAGTATTTCATTTTAAACATATGTCTTATGTTCATCTTTGAAATATTTCTAAACCTATAGGTACTATTTACAAAACATAGGTTCATTGTACCTACTATTTACAAAATTCATTGCAAGTACGGCAGCTATTTTTGTGTAACATATACATTATTGTCGTATTAGTTTCAGTGCTTGTTTGAATACCTAGTAGGTAGCAGTTTTATTGTATCTGTTATCTTAATTAATGTTTTTGATATAATTTTTATGTAGTAAGTTTTTATCAAACTTTTAGGGTACAAACATGAAAGTATTTATTTCGATTAGCTAGTCTGAAGAGAAATTGAGTTGGAGCTCTGTTAATTAGTTTTCACGCTAATACATTATTGTTTGTCATATGAAGACACGAGTGAATGCATTATACGCATGAAACAAACAAATAATAAACATTTCATAAAGAAAATATCACTTTAGAGAATCTCACGAAATTTTAACAGAGCTTAAGCTAAGAGAGATATTGTAAAGCTCGATTATATCAAACTTGTGCAGCTAAAATGTTATTTCCATTTTTGCTCATTTTAATCAATTCAAAATATAGAGAAATATTATCATAACTTTGAAAATCATTTATTTAAAAACTGTTACTTTAAGAGTTGACTCTGTGTTGAATAATATTAAAATACATAATTTAAATGTATATTTTTATATCTTTATTTATAAAGAAGTATTATAAACCATACAAAGTTGGTAACCAAGTATCGACTATATCATTGAAGATTTATAGATATTACGACAAATGTATTTTGCCATGTTTCTATGCTAGCGCGAATACTATTGGTAAATTAAATCCATTTGCAGTTAAGTATAGTTTTTGCCGAGTTGCTAAAACGATACTGAACTACCAGTCTTCTCAAACAGCAAAAATAGTCTGGCAGTAATTCATCAATAGCATTTGCGTGCAGCCTTAAAAAAAACCTATAGATTAATGTAGGTAAATGTTAACTGTTATATTATTAAAAGTAGCCTCCTTCATAATTCCACGCTTGCATCCAGTAGTGTCGACACGAACCATTTTACATTTTGACGATATTGTGGTTACTAAGCAGTTGAGGTAATATTTACGAGCCTACTTAAAATTACATATTTCTTTGACAGAAACAACAAGACTGTATTTATTTGCTATTTATACTCGGAAGCATATTGGGGTTAACTGGTTAGTGAAAATGATTACTAGCCAATACTATAGGAAATTATATAAGCTAACAGATGTAGCTTGTCGCAATTATTTTATAGTATTTGCTGGCGGACAGTGTAGTGGAGTCATTTTAGTATATGTATGACGAATTTGATTATATAAGCTAGTTTCTGCTGAGGAATAGATTTATCTGAAGTATGATACCGATGGGCGATTTTTCCTAAAACCAAAAATGAAAATAACGAAATGCAATCGATTTGTAATATAAATACGAATAACAAATGGCTGGACAACTGTTGCAAAACAGTTATAGTTAGTAATGTGTATAAAATCGATAGGATCCAAACGGATAGAGTTTATAAGGTAGCTAGAAGTAATTAGGAAGGAAATAGCATTATAAACTTCGTTATTTTAAAACAAATAAATTATTTTCGACTTTTTTTAGGTTTTTGTATTTGTAGGTGAAGCTTAGGATTGCGGTTGTAGAACATCAGCGAATGATTTTAGTACTGAAACCGGCACGGCGTCGCCGTAGGGGAATCAAATCCAGCAGGCAGCTATTCCGCGGAACTCGTCTAGGGACTAACGTGTGCATCGATCTATTCTACACGCCTTAGACGCATCACTGCGGCGAATACGTAATATTGTGCGTAGCTATGTTGGCTCTCACCAACGAAACAAATTGTCGATATATTGTAATACCGTCTAAATGTCCACCTATAGCATGGCTTGGCAAACATCACTTTCAACTTGTCGCAACATAGCTTTGTGGTGTCATTGCAAGTATGTATCGGTGTTAATTGTTAACCTATAGTTAAATGTCCATAGATAATGATATATCTGTATGCACTAGAATGTTAGATGACTTACTATTTCCTACATCGCCAAGCTGCAGGTGGTTCATCTCATTCTAGAATTTACTGACGAGATTTCCATAACAGTTGTTATTTAAAATGAGGAGGCTTTCCTATTTAGCCCCAAAATTTTTAAATCTCATATTTCTGTAAGTGCTTGTTAACATCTTGTTATTTTTTATTTTTATTACGTCATACTTTTAAGTGCGTTTATTCGGGCACAAAATTATGTTCATAATAATTCCTGTATTTTAAAAAGTAGGGGAGTGATAACATTGTAGGGACCGTTGAATGCTGTTTTTATTTTGGTTTCACTAAATATCTACGACATATAATTAACTGACACACTTGGATAGTTTATCATAATTTTTGATAGTTTAAAAAGGTCACATAATTACGTTATTTAATTATTAATCAATAGTTTCGAATAAAAAGGAGCTACTAATACAGACACCAACACCAACATCTCTAATCAGTCAATTTTTATTGGATTTTCGACTTTATATCAAAACAATAAATTTGAAATTCCTTTTTAAGAATTGACAGAAATATGTTAACCTGCTAGCCACTGTAGTTATTTCAATCGATTTGTGTGAATTAAAGGTTAAAAAAACGTGATACTTTCAATATGTATTGTGTGTCCAAAAGCAGTATTATAAAGTAAGTAATATCTAATAATGTTATGACTCCTTTACAACTTCGTGTAATTATATGTATGTATTAGAAATTAAATTAAAAATACCTATTTCAACACCCTTTAAGATTCCAATTGGTGAAAATATGTTCCTTAATAAAGTTTTTTATTTATATGTAAAATACTGGCATTAAGGTTCTATATAATATCAAAAAATATTCCGGGCGGCGACCAACAAAATCTATTATATAAATATTCTCTTTATGCGAATAAATAAAACAATTTATTATATAAAGTATAAAAATGTAACGCATGTTCTTATTTTCCAACATTTTAATATGTGACTTAGCCGTTATTTATGATACAGACCTAAAATGACATTATATTTGTATAAAATCTTTACTTTCTATTATTGTCAATGGATATGTACAAATTGATTACATGTAATTATTTATATTAAATCTTTAAAGGCGAATTGTTGTTTTTTATTCATATTATGCACTACTGTAGTGAGGATCAGGGTGGAGGAAGCTAAATGAAATGCCAAATATATTTTTATATACTTTGCCCATTTAATTGTCAAAATTGATATAACACATTAACATCAGAAGTACAATTACGGCTCCACCACAGAGATGGGTGTTATGGTTGTAGTTGCACGTTATCACGATGCATTGTAACGGTAACTTCAGTTTTGATGTTAAAACATCGATCTAAGAGGATAAAATACAATATAATTTTTATTATGTGGAATCGCAGTCCATAAGTCGAAATGTACGTCGCAGCATTATATTTGCGCGATTGGGGTAAATTATTTACTAACATTTACCTTTCTGCTTACAATATGAAGATAATTGTTTACTTTAGGTACGTATAGGTTTTGGTACTCAATAACATGAAAAATGTAGTAATGAGGGGGAGGCCCCAGATATTCAGATAGTTACATACTCGAACGCGTCAGATAATGGGGAACATCTAGTTGCTTGTACCCACTATATGGTTATATACCCACTTATATGGTTATATACCCACTTATATGGTTATATACCCACTTATATGGTTTATAAAGGCAATCAATCAAGAGATCAGGGCCCAGTAGGGTTGATGCCTGATATGGAGCCGCGGAAGGCCAACGGGTTACCCGGGCTCCGGCTCGAAGAGCCAAAGTAGGAACAGGGTAGTTTTTAGTCAGTAACAGTGTGACACTCTTTCGCCTAATCCAAGGTGGGAGAACTTTTTGGATGATTTAAACCATCAAAAAAAAAAACTGATCAAAATAAACTGTGTCGCCATAATAGAGGCAGAGATTGCATGATTATGGTACATGCTAAAGCAAGCGCATTTAAATGGTCTCCCGACTTGAACATATTTATAAGAGTAGGAAGGTATTGAAGCCTTATCATCTTACCCTTCCACGCCTTTAAATTACTTTCGTTGTCAGACACATGCGAGTATAGTAAGCAAATCTATCACGCTCGAATTTAGAAAAAATACGTTGAACAATTTTGAAAGGGTTTCCTTATTTCATTTGCTGTTGGAAACGTTACACACCAAATATTTAATATCAAGTAACGTACCTAGTTCCCTTCTATAGTATCCTGGCCTCCCTCACTATGATTAAATGCAATTTAAGAAGTACATAATACACATACTGCTACAATATAACCGGATCATAAAAATGTAATCCTTTCACGGTACAATACGCTATAAATGCTAAATATTTGTGGATACGGGTACAAAATTTATTTATTTAGATATGTATTAGATACCTACTCTTTGCCTATCGACACTGGGTTTACTCAGTTACAATGAGAAAGTTCGTTGTGAAATTCAACATCCATTATTTTCACGGTTTATCTATCAGAGAGGGCCGCAGGCCATGTTCAGATTTCTCACTACTCATACTCTTCTTGGAATTGTCCAAGAAGAGTATGAGTAGTGAGAAATCTAGTGAACATTGAATTTAATATTTTAATCACTCTAATATTAGCAATTTGGAGAACGTATTAAAACGTAAGAAAACATGACCGAAAATACCACAAAACGACTGCACAGTAACATCAGGTAATGGTATTAAAACAGTACCTACGAATATTTACTTAAATATACATGATTATTCGTATATATTTTATTATCAGAATGGTTATGTTATATCTACGTCTCTAAAATCTATTCCTACATACATAAAAATACTTAACTACGACCATTAATATACGATAACATGAAACAGACTCCATATTGCATTACACCTATAAGTCATTATCAGTACATAAGTAATATTGAAGTTGCAATTTTAATTGAGGAGTCTGAATTATCAACCTTATTATTACGACAATATGCACATAAAAGTACGTATACGTAACATGAAGAGCTCGCTGGAAGTTATTGTAAGTTTCCATAATTTAATAATTTACTACATTTATTAGGATTACTTCTATAACATTATGTAGTATCTATTAGATAAAAATTGATTGATTAAACTGACATAATATTGTTGAGTATATTTAAGAGTTAGACAAGGTTTTATAAATATTACACGATAAAAGATATTCTGAGTCTGATTGTCCCTTGTTTGTCACATCAGCAATAGGTTAATTGTGAACGTATAGGATCAGAGAATCAGAATAAAATACGTGCGCTACATTGGACTTCCATCATGAGCTCTCGCATAGTATACAGGCATACGTTATAATGTCCTGTCGCGTATTGTCTTAGACTACATTAATGTTACACCCTACATTGGGTTTGTTTTTAATTTTCAAACAGTTTGATGATCACCACATTTAGGCAACTAGAAAAACCAGGACAAACATGTTTACATATCTACTGAAAAGATACATCAGAAATACGGAATTGACGTACAATTATATAATATACAGTAAAACTGCACGTATATGGGGTAACTACAATTATGGCAAACAATTTAAAAAACTATTGAAATAAGTTTTGCAATGAGATTAAAAATCTGTACGTAAATGCATTTTCGAGACCAATAAAATGTCAGTATCACCCATCTCCACCTCTCGTCCAACTATTCTGACGCCCAATACTAAGATTTATAACTGTTTATATCTCATTGCAAAGCATAGTATATAATTAAAACTACATAAATAATATTGTACTTATTCTAGTAATTGATTGATAGTAATTCGGGAGTAAATTGGTTTACAACGAACAGTAGGCCTTATTATAAACATTATACACAATAAATAAAAAAATATTCGATAGATCCAAAAGGTACATCCAAATGTCTTTTTAACAATAAGAACGCCAAAGATGTAAATGCATAATATGTATATTCTAGATTAAAAATGTTGAGATATCAAAAGTTAATAGGAAATAACTAAGAGAATGTAATTTATCGCATGTTTGATATTTCTACAGCTTTGTTTAAGATCAGAGATACATCCATCGGAGGGAAGTTTTGAAGTAATTTCACATTGGACGCAAAATCTCCGCTGAGCAAGTCGTTTCTAACCAACCTGTTGAAATGAAAAAATATAATTCACAAAACTGGTTACTATGTAACCTCGTCTTTTAGTGCAAAACCATATCAGCATTATTATTACATTGATGTTAATAGAGGTCAGAATATGCCTTATGTATTGTTTTATAAACACTAATATTCTAATATTATAGAGGAAGACTATTTTTGTCAATCCTTTCTCCCATGTGAAGGTAATGGATTGGTAGAAAGTTAGCGGCGTATTTTATAGAGGTAGATTCATGCCCGGACTAAAATATTTTAGATTCAAAATAAGGTACTTACAAAATCATGGCACAGCAGATATGAATTAGGAAGTCAAATCTCTTCCCATCAGCAAACATGGAGTCCCAAATCCGTTCAACATCTGGTAGTGAGAATTCTTGAGAGAGCAATAGTGTCAACCACCTGTAAAATATTATCATCGTGAGAAAAACATTCTTATTGTTTCTCGGAAAAGAGGACTCGATAGATGTATTAAAAATGCAGTGATAATAAAATAGATTACCTAAAACTATAATATTGGGGTCTCAGTTCTTGTATCTCCAACAAGTTCCAAACAGCAGGATCAGTCTTCTTTAAGCAGTCACTAAGCCTGCCCATTACATAGTTGATGCCGCTGGCAGACTCGTCCAGGGTACGTATGAAGAAGTCACGTATCTCCGCCATCAAATTGGTGAAGCAAAAGAAGCAATCAGCCTCAGCATGTTCTGTTAGTAGAGAAAAAAGAAGAACATGAAAGTTTTTGGAACACTGAACACGAACCAGTGCTTATTGCAATATGATACATACTTCTAAATTCTTTGTCGGGGTCAATAGCAAATGTATGGTAAATGGGGCCGATAATTTCGTTCATTCCTTGCACGTAGCCCTGGCCGGGATTCAGCTTGGCATACAGGAACAGCATTCGTTCCACTACCTCCCAGTGCGCCTCACAGCCCTCGTTCAGCGGTGCGTAGTCTCCGCTGTGGGCGCTGTCTGAGCGCCGGATTTCATTGCTCAACTGAAACAATAAATAAACAAGATATCATTGACAAATTTTTTACACAAATGTTACATTATAATGATAATATTAATACACTGCCTTGACCTTTACTGTAACACGTTTGTTTGTCTATGTTGCAATATAATATTATTGTTAGCACATGCACCTTGTAAAATGTCACATGTCTATACAAGCTATGTTGTCACCATTTCACTTACCTTAGCCACTCCAAGCCCTCGTCTTTCTAAAGTTGAAAATTTCAAGACCGACTGCTCCACTCTTTTATGCAATCTCTTTACACCATTGCTGTTTACTATCTGTAAATAAAGAGGAAATTTGCAAATGTAAGTGAGAGATGATATTCCTCTTCATAGAATAAAGAAAATATTATTGAGTACTTACTTCCTCACATGGAAATTCTGTGGCAGATTGAAAAAAAGATATATCAGGGCATAGCCGACGGACATCTTTGTCAATTTGTAGCAGAACTTCATTGTCCTTGAAGTAAGTGCTCCAGGAGCTATCTGGGCTAATGTTTAGAGGGTGGTCAGTGGGGCCTCCCGGGGACACTATTATTTCATCTGGAAATAAGTACATTATAACAATTATTATATGAGTAGTTGTTAATTAAGACCATTTCCAAAGAATTAGGTACTTCTTTATTATATTATTATATGTGTATGACTATAATACTTGCCGATATAATGTTTGTAATTTTGTCTTTTCTCATTAAGAGTCGTTTTCCAAGTACTTTTTTGGTGGGGCAGGTAGAGCAGCAATATTTTCCATACCAAGGATCTTAGGCCTTTTTCGTCAGGAATACCTAGGGCATATAAAAATTTTTGTTCTCAATTCAATTCTGATAATAATAATGATGATTATTTTTAAACACAAAATTTCATTGATAAAATAGAAGAATGAATTATTGTGTGCAACATACTACACACGTCCCTAGCTAATAATAAAGACAAACAAAGAGAAATATTCATACTCCAATAGGTTTGTGTAAAACACAATACTTTAAGTATTCCTCATCTGTTTTGCCGTTTTAGCCCTTCTCACATTAGTATTAAAGCTCGGTATCACAGCCTAAAATCCCAGCAAGAGGAACAAACCCTGTTGCACTTAACTGCACATCAGTCAAAATGTATCCACTTTTAAGACTCAACAACACAGCTTTGAAAATACCCGATACAAACATGCAAACCTTTACTATTACAATGCACATTTCCAATCTATACGGTGAAGTTTGGCTCTCCTAGCTAGTCTATTGAATAGTCTGTATTAAAGAGTATAGTACCCATAAGTATTAAGTATATATGCCAATATTTTTCTACCATAACTATTTAACAAAAATTTTAACTGCTCCAATAAATGTAGGTACATTTCCATTCTGCATAAAGTGATTAGTGCTGCTAGTGGTACATTTTATTTATATTTAAATTATCTAAATACCTCCATAACCTGGCTCCAGACTGTTATGTTCATGAGAGTGAACAATAAGAGGTAAAATAATTATAAAATTACGTGTCTAACACACCTAAGTACTTAACAATGAAAGGGCAAAGATATTTTATTTCAATTTTAAAATATCTTTAAATAAAATATCTTTGGGATTTTTCTTTGGGTATACATGTGTGTACAATTTCACAAACACAACACACTTAGCGTAAACAGGAATAGCAATTTGTGGATCACACTAAGAATTGTTTATAGAAACAAACGCTTCAAAAGTCAAAGCATTTATTTCAATTAATCTTTAACTAGGCACTTTAAAATATTTTCTTTATGTTCAGTACATTTTGAAACAGAATTTTACGAGGAAAAATTACTTTAAAAATAATGTTCAACATTAGTCAGAGCTACACCATACTATTATTACTAATACTTACCATTAAACGCTAATTTTCTCAACTTCTCAATGTCAACCACATCTTCTTCCAAAACTTCTTCAAACGCCTTTATTCTGCAATTATAATTTACTAACTTGAGTTTTGTTAAGCAGTTTATCTAGTAACCAGGTGTTAAACTCAGTTATGACACCAAAATTCTGTAGTTATATCACTATCCACATGAGAAATCCAGCTTCTGCCCGCGTCTTTGTATGCACAATCCTGTTTCCGCTTTTCGGGATATTCTTCTATAAAAAGTGTCCTATGTCCATTTCCGGGTTCTAAGCTACCTTCCCATCAAAGTTCAGCTAAATCGATTAAACCGTTCTTGAGTTATAGATAGTGTGTTACTAACACAACTTATATTAGATTAAAAAGATTTATTGGTCTGTTATTCTGTTTTATTGTTTAATTTTTTCATGACATTACTCTGAGCTTTGATAGTTGCAGCAATGAGTGTCACTAGTTTATTAATTTAATTTATTTGTATTTAGAATGAAATATCTAGTAGTTTATATAAAATCACTTTGTGTTGTTCTAAAGTCAATGATAATGAACTATAGTAAACTAGCGATCCGCCCAGCTTCGCATGGATGCAATACGCTTTTCTTAAAATTATATAAACCTTCCTTAAGAATCATTCTATCTATTTAATAAAATTGCATTAAAATCTGTTGCATACTTTTGATGATACATACATAGGGACAGACAGAAAGCAGATAGCGACTATGTTTTATAATATGCAGTGATTAGTAGAAATAAGATTTCGATTTGTAATTTTTAGGTCTACAAATACGAAAACAGTAATTGTAGAAGAGAGGAGATAGTAATCAATTATGAAATTATGACACCAGTAGAAATCATCACTGTGGTGTTCATATTATATGATATAGTTATTGGAATTAATTAACTGTATATTCAATAACGTGACTTGAAAATCCGAAGTGGATTTTGACATAAATCCATATCAAATTACTTGTAAAAGTGTTACAAAAAGTTATATCAAAAAATTGTATTTTCCTTTTGGAATAAAAGGCAATTGCTTTTTAAAAATACAATTATTTAACTTTATTAGAGAAAAAAAGACAATAATCAAGGATGGAAGAAAAATAAATATGAGGAAACTAGTGCTCAGAAGGCAACTGATGGCTGATGGATAGCCACTAGCAGGGAGTGGTCTTAGGTTTAGGTCAATGGTACTTGGTTCACAAAAAGGTGACTAACTTTGCATTTAGGTTTTGTAAAATATGACAAAAAACCCTGCTTTTGTGAATATTTTTAATACATCCTACTTTCAAAGAAATTTATTTTATTTAGTGATTGATTCAATTGCATATTACTTGTATCACTAACTTTTTTGATGATAATGTTAAGTATTTTCTGCTTTAAGGAAATTGTATCTTACCCATGAAACATTTTGAAGCAGCAGTCAACTTCACCAAATTGTTAAAGTAATCAATCATCCAAGGACACTAATTGTATGCACTTTAATGTCTTTATGAAAGGAAATGCAATCAATAAGTTAGTGCTACAGATAACACTATGGTTGATTTTTTTTTAAACCTGATTTAGTATTTAGCTTATTCAGAAAGCTGTACTATTATTGTTACTACCTTCACTTTCTCTTAAAATGAATGAATAAGTACCTATTTATCACTGAATTAAGCATATTTTAAAAGTTTTCTTTAATTTTTCGACTATGAAACCAGCTAGGTACCTAATAATTTATAGTGAAAATTTATGAAATTATTCGAGTGAATTACTAAACATCTAAGAAATATGTAAATACTGTGAATTATAAAGATTTCAAGTACATAAATACGCCTATTTTATGTGTCAAAGAACTGGGGAGAATGAGAATGGACATATTTTTTATGTTATTATTTACAACTGAAACTGTTATTTTTTTATTTGTAATTGACATTACCTTGCTTTGTGTAAACTCATTTTGATACTATGTAGTTAATTAAATAACGAAATCACAAGATACATAAAATAACTATAAAACTTGTTTAGTCTCAGACGTCAAGTAAACTAGTGTCAGAACTCACAGAACTGTCAGACTGTCACACTAACAGGCAGTCATCCATCTGTCACTCACTGCCAAAGTGCCAAGTCAAACTGCCCCTCTAGCTGCTTGTTTTTAAGTCTTGAATACGGGGCTTTTAGTTCTCATTTGTGTGTGGTGTGAATGTGAAGAAGGATCACGAAAATTGTTTTGATTACTTTTATCCGAGGTTTTGCGGGTTTTTATCTTTCATTTAATTTCTTATTTCATATTTTGCCATATTTTTATAGGATCTGCCAGTGACTTCCCGTAGTGTACATAAGGACCAATACATACATACAACATAACCTCACGCCTGTCTTCCATTAGGGTAGGGAGAAGTGTAAGGGGCACTAAACCATTTAAGTGCTCCAGTCAACCTATTTTTTTGAGATAAGCTAAAAATCTGTGTCAAAGTAGTGTTTTCATAAATATTTGGGATAACTTTGAAACCGTACTACGTACTATGTCGCTGAACATAAAAATGGGTTTTAAGTAGGTCTTGATTTCCCTATAAGTACTTATTATACTCTATGGATATTGATCACAAATTACCTCCCACAGCCCGTCCTACATTTTACTGAATTTAAAATGAAATAGAAAGTAAATGTCACATAAAAGTTTACATTTGTATTCAAAAGATGGCGTTAGAAGTCTAATAATTTTGTACAAATTAAAAGTTCAGAAAATATTGTGAATAAAAAAAAGTTTTCTTTCAGTCAAAAGTGTGAAATAAAGAAAATGTGCCAATAAAGATCGTCATATCTACTAACCGAAGTGACCTAGAACCTTGAACATTATATGTTGCTGACTGACGCAGATTCGCCCGGTACACTTTCAATTGCTTATTTTTATTTATTCTAATAACATAAGCATGAAACTACTTTACTTTCACCAGATGTGGTGTACCTACCTCTTCGATCAACAATAACAACTAGATAAAGGGTTACGTACAAAATCAAGCTCCAGTTCTGTCCGTGTGAATAATAATAGTAAAAAAATAATAAACAGAGAAAAATGTTTTAAAATAGTTTTAAGTTCAACCTAATAACAACCATGGCACCTAATAATATAGTCATAAATCATCAAAATATTATCTAATACTTACGACCATTCGTCACATAAGACAAGAAAAGTATTTTCTTACTCCTGTCATGTGGAAATTAAAAGACATAAGTTATACACTATTTAGTTTGAATTCAACCTTAAGCTCGAACAAATAAAGATATTTTTTCCATTATTGTCTTGCGTTCTATATCGTTTTGTTTTGTTACGTTTTGCTTCTTCAAATTTCGAATTTCGCTACAGGAGGTATGTATGGAGTCGCGTTGGACACTAAAATAATTTTAATAATATGAAAATTAAGATTTCGGGATCTTAGTATACATCACTAATTTTTATTAGCGGTACGTTTTTGTGTATGATATGTTTATTTACTTTATTATTAAAAGTCTAAGTCTAAGTCAAAATCATTTATTTCAGTTAGACCAGGAAGGCACTTTTGAACGTCAACAATATAAATTTAAAAGTGAAGCTATTTGCTCATTCCAAGGTGAAGGTGTAGATTCCTACAGAGAAGAACGAGCAAGAAACAATACAATTTTATTTTTCAATACAAATCGACTCGATGCATCCACTGTTCTGTTTAAACAAATGTTGGCGAGGCTTGGCCAAGGAATCGCCAACACACGCACAAACATTGGTGGCGTTGGTTTATAATTGATAATTTTGTCTAATTTGATATTATTTACTAGTTTAAAAGCTTAAAATATAACTTATACTTTATGTACTTATCAAAAGTAAGACACTCCAGCCGTTATACTGCTTTTTCGGTTGTTATTTTTGCAACTTGCAATTATGCATTGCGGCATCGCGAGACGTGAGTACGTTGGCCGTGTTTGGAGCATACTAAACAAAATAAGAGCTCACTTCTCAAGTGAGCTCTTATTTGTCGAGACGATTTTCTTGCGCCGACCCGATATCTAGTTGTTATTGTTGATCGAAGACCTACCTAATCACTTTTTACTTTCATAAAAGCACTACGCGTGACTGACGGATATATACGTAACAACGCGCGAAATTCGGCAAACGTTTTTTTTTCCGGAAAAATCCTCTCAAGGATAGCATGAAAAACTGACAAATGATAAAAAATGTAAAGATTTTTTTATGCGTATTTCTACTCCTAACTGCAACGATAGTTAAGCGGATGACGCTGACTGTTTACACAAACGGAAATAATATGTATGTATATGTAGGTAACAACCTACCTATAAAATTTTCTTAAACTATAAAGTTCCTTAAACTAAAGTAGTTATGGAATCTCTTAACCAACTAACCAAGCTAGCGTCACCTCCCTTTGGTCAGATATATAAATACGTATAAAGCACCAAAAAAGTTTACGATGGCATAATCTTTGTCTTCTGTCTTTTTTAAGAAGGCTGGTAAACGAGCAGAGGGTAATTGGGCCTCTGGTTGCCTCACTCACACGACGAAACACCACGCAACCGTTGTTTCACGTGGATTTTGTGTGGTGCCGTGGTATAACTCCGGTCGAGCCGGCCCAGTCGTATTGAAATATGGCTATCCCACACGGTAAGTGTCTCCTGCGGTTCACAGTCTCTGTCTAAATATGTGTTAGAAGTCTCTGAAATGATTATACACTTACACTAGCTACTTCCGTGCGGTTTTACCCGCTCTGCTCGCTGCTAAATGACGTAGCGTAGTGCACTATCCAACACAAAAAATTATTATTCAAATCAGACCAGTAGTTCAGGAAGTTAGCGCGTTCAAACAGACAAATAAACTCTTCAGCTTTATGTAGCAGTATATAAGCGACCCGCCCCGGATTCGCATGGGTGCAATATGTATGTATTATACATATAAACCTTCCTTAAGAATCACTCTATCTATTAAAAAAAACCGCATTAAAATCCGTTGCGTAGTTTTAAAGATCTAAGCATAGATAAGGGCAGACAGACGACGGAGAGACTTTGTTTTATACTATGTAGTGATAAGGTAGGATATAATATATACATAGGTCTATATAGTAGGTACCTACCTAGACCTATACTATTTTCAAAACCGTTTTCTTCAGTTCGTTGATCATCTAAATAAATATGTAAACTATTTAATGCAGATTGACATAAATAGGACATTTTGCTGTATAGGCAATAAAGTTAGTATATTAAGTATCGACATACCTACATTTGTTAGTCTAGTTGTCTAGTTACTTTTTTGAGAAAGGACAAATTTGTGTTGCAATATATTGAATACATTTAATCACGAAGTACAATGCAAAAGAAACAAATCACTAAGACAAATAAAGATGCTTATTAAAGAGACAAACGCCTTATTCATGGTTTCAGTGGTTGGTACAATTTCTGTATAATATTCGTAGAACGATAAAGCAGAGGCCATGGAATTGAAAAATATTGCAAGTGTAATGAATGTGCTCTCTATAAACATATCGCTGTACAATTCTAGGCCAGCTTCCATCACAAGTCCTAATGTAACAACAACAAAACTGCCATATATGCCAGTCATTAAAAAATGGTTTAACGAAGTTAAATTCGGAGTTTCCGTGCTGTAAAACAAGCCCAAAGTCATCAATATCAACAGGAATCCTCGTAAAACCATTTGCACCAATTTAAAAGTCATGGTGTTATTTTCATAAACTTGATTATAAAGAATTCGAAACAATTGTAAGGTCAATCTTTTATATAATCATATAATTAATAAAGAATAAAATATTACAAAAGTAACCACAAAAGCAAAATGTAATAATTGACAAATGATAGATCACATTGAAGTTGCCAATTTCTCACCAAATGTTCAAGAACATTGTGCCACACTAATCTAAGGTGCCACATAAATAGAATGAGTATATTTGATAGATTTTTTTAGAATAATGAGAGAAGTGAGAATTTTATTGCTAGTAGGTCTATCTAATGCTAGTAAAAGTTCAAGAGGGCTATTTTACAATTCGCTTAAATGTTATGCATATTAATTTAAAATGTTATTATTACTATTTATATTAAAATATTTTGCACATTCCTTGGTGTATGATATTGATCACACTTTACATAGTTCCTACTCCTTGCGTCGTTTGCTGAGGATTATGACCTCGACGAATCAACTTGTCACGGGCTATCGTTTGCCATCTTGTCCTGTCTTCGGCGGCGTGAGTGGCATCGGAGACTATTGAATTTAAAGTGGCGCTGATTTGGTCTGTCTAGCGATCAGTGGTCCAGCGCAAGGGGTATCGGCTTCTGGCTCTTTCCATTAATATTGCCAGTTAGTAACCGGTTATGCTCCGTTTGCCTTGCAATGTGACCAAAATACTTAAAGTATTTAGTAAAGAAACTATGATATAATTTATAAATGTTCAATGTAAATATTTAAAGTCGTTCACGTACATTAGTAAACTCCTAATTTCAGTAAAGGAAGTTGCAGAAAATTCTGTTTTATACTTATTTTTTTATGCGACGATGGTGGCAAAAAACGCGTGCGGCTGACCTGATGGTAAGTAGTTACCGTAGCCCATGAGCCCATGAAAATCTATAATCATTTAATTATTAGTAAAAATGTCCTCGGTACCGCTGTATAATTTGTAGTTGAATTCTACAGTCACCTGATCCGCTACCTAGATCAGAAATAGCGGGCCTAACGGGGACCGGGGCCGTGTGCTTTGGTCGTCGCTCATAGTGAAGGGTATTGCCATAATGGGGGATCAAGCAATGTCGTCTAAAGAAACGCTCAGGGGTGAAATTAAAGTATCATGAATAATTTGTTAGTAAGGGTAACAAGAACAACCATCATGTAACAACTCGTGGTTATGGTTACAAGGACAGACTACGCGTGGTTCACTCTCCTTGCTATGGCTATGTTAAATGTTAATTGTAAAGCTGCCAGCCAAAGAGTATATGTAATAAGTCTAGGGGAACTGTCAGCTAATGTCAGTGATTCTGTTAGTATGAATAACGTCGTTCGAATTCTTTTATAATTTTCACAAACTTTTTCATAATATTTTATAATAATAGATTTTCATTTGGATATGAATATTATTTATTTGTTTTGTAGTAGCTTTATTTTAAGGAATGTGTTCTGTGCCAACACAACCAAGAAATATGTAGATATCAATTATTGTACTCATCCAGATTGCTCTATGGAAAACCAGCACACAATGTGCGTTGCTGCTAATAAGCAAAGTTCGAGACTTTATGCGTCAGGCATGACTGCATGGATGCGGTACCAAATCTTGCTACTACACAACAGGCATAGAGACAACATTGCTATGGGATTAGAGCCTGGACAGCCTCCTGCTACTAACATGCGTAAAATGTACTGGGATTATGAACTGGAACATATGGCGGAGGTTTGGGCTCGTCAGTGTCAGAAGCGACACGATGAGTGTAGGAATACCATCAGATTTAATGTTTTACAAAATATGGATGTGCGGGCTGTTGTAAGCAGGGTGACAGAGGCTCAATTACTAGCAGACGCAGTGGGTGCATGGTTCTCGGGCTCGAGAGCGTTGCCACCTGAGCATGTGTGGTCTTTTAGACTTAGTAATTGCAGTGCACCTGGTGGCTGTAACGCACATTGGTATTCAGCAGCCGCTTGGGCTTCTACGTGGCGTCTTGGTTGTTCACAAGCGCTTTGCACTGCAAAGAAACCATCTTGTGCTTTATTTCGCAAAAAAAGAGGGACAGCTCCAAAATCGTACCATCACTCAAGGTCAAATGTGACGAGAACCTTTCCGCCAAGTCAAAATTTACTTCGACGTACAAGGTACATGACAGCGTCAACACCTCCGAGATTTGAGGATTATGCTAACACAGATCGCATTTACCATCCAAAAGAATCGCCTTTACATCGTGGTGTATTACGAAGTGAAATGAAAGGGAAAAAACGAAAGGAATCCAAAATTTTGGCCTACACTTTTTGTAACTATGGCCCCGCAGGAAACATTGATGGTTTCCCAATTTACGAAGTAGGAACTACTTGTAACAACTGTCCTCAAGGCACGCAGTGTGGAGACCGAATGCATAGGGCGTTGTGCTCGGTAGCTGGTGACCCAGATGTTAAAGACAGATATTGAACTTCATCAATTATATATGTTTAAATTTAACTAACTACTGTTTAACTTTTGTTGCGTAATTATTTTGTTGTCGTAAGGTTTTTCTTGAATGAAATTGTAAAAAAAAATAAACAGAAAGAATGATGGACTGTTTTTCTTGGAATCATTTTTTTAAACTTGTGTATTAAGAAAAATGTGACTTGGTTACATTTATACATTTAGACCTTTGCACATAGTACTTTTTTTTAAATATAGGTCATAAATGCCGCAGGGGCTCGTCTAAGGGCTCGCCAGAGGGTCGACGCGCGACTTTTAGCCACGGACATAGCACATCTTATCGGCAAATGTTGACATTGGCAGCTGACACCATTGGCAAGGTTCTCTTAATCGGGTCAATAGCCGGCATCTACATGACCTTTTACCGAATAAAGGGAAATGCAACTACTTTCAACCGACAAACATTGTCCCAACATGGTATAACAATATTCTATATTACTAGTGACTAGTGGTTTTATAAGATAACTGTATGTTATTTAGAGGTAGTAGTAATGAAAATTGCACGTAAAAAGCGTCTAGTCTGAGAAGTGTGTATATGTTTTGAAGTAGGTAGTTAGGTACCACAGGTGTATTAAAGAAGGTACCTATAAAAATCTTTAAAAGATTCCTTGACAAACGCATTTATCGATACAAGATATGTATGCTTATTAGTTTGTAAAGGGAATGCTTATTTTCAACAGTTCTTTGTTATGATTGTAGGCTAATGCCCTCGACCAACATCTGAAGAGGGTCTCGATTGTCAACTGGGTTAAGAGTTTGATTGTAGTAACTGGTACTTCTCTGGACGAAGCGAATTGTCAAGTGGTTTGACTCCGTATCGTTACAGGAATACGATACAAATCAAGACAGTACTATGTTTTTTATTTAAGTAACATAACATCACGCCTTTTATCTCCGATGGGGTAGGCAGAGGTGAAGTAACACCCACTTTTCACTATTTATGTTATGAATCCTATGTAATAGGGGGTGAGCCTATTGCCATATACCGGGCACATTTCCAGACTCTATGCTACTACTGAGAATTTTTTTAAAACCTAGTAATACTTTGCCCGACCCGGCAATCGAACATGAGACCCCTTGCCCGGCAGTCGCACTTGCGACCACTCGGCCAACGAGGCAGTCTTTATTTAAGTATTTATTATTATCTTAGAGGAAGTATACATTGTTATCTATTAAGTATTATAAGTAGGTATATAATAGTTAAAAGTTTATACAAACTGCATTATAATTTAAATACGACATTAAAGAAGCTGTACATTAGTTACAGGAGATATAGACTAATCATTCAAATTGTTGAAATTTTAATTAGTTGGCGCCAAGCGCCGCTTCTTTCGGTTTCGTATGTGTTTATTACAAACTAGCAGTTCCCCACGACTTCGTCTGCGTATAATAATGACTCTGGCAGAATTTACTTTTCTTTATTACCTAGTCTTTTCCAAGATTAATTCCAATACCGGGGGAAAAATATCATCAGAATGGATTCAATATCTAAGTTATATTTATTGAGATATGAAATTATTTTCGTGATTTCATAAAATAAACAATACCACAGTGATTTTACCGATATGGTATTCGTTCACGTTAGGTTTCCGTAATAAAAACTAACATTCTATGTCCTTTCCAGGGTTGCAAACCTTTGTTGTACCGAAGTCCAATCAAATAGGTACTGCGGATAAAACTCTCAGCCCTGTATAGTCAGTTTTTTGATATGTGAAAAATGCAATATCAAGTTAACTGATTATATTATATTCATGGACTTATATTTGTTTATATTTCTCTCTTTAGATTGCTGTCTAGCTGTCTACCTCTTTCCATGTAAAATGAGGTGAATAGGGACAGAAGAGGGGTGAATCGATACTATGAAGAATTTCCTAATATCTATTCACCCCTCTTCTGTCCCTATTCACCTCTCGATCCCTATTCACCCCATTTTACCGTTACCTTAATGTTAATAAAGGTTAATAACATGATACCAATAATTTTTTTTGTCAAATTTATGATATAGAAATCTACACTTATTATTATATTTGAGCATGTCTATTGATTTGTCCGTATTCACGACTGAAGTTAGAATTTCGAACTTCGGAGCTAGAAATGGACGTGATTTTTTTAACTGAAATAGTTGAAAAGATGTAGAGTAACCCAACATAGGCTACTTTTTATCTCTTTCTAACCCACCTGTTCCCTAAAACAGGGGGTAGAAGTTTGAATGGAGCATTTCGCAAATTTCTAAGTAGTAAAGCTAAAAATTGGTATTTTTTTTAAGGGGGAAAGTCATCGAATGGCTGCTCCCGCCTGGGTGAGGCGGGAGGGAGTGTCAGACTCTTACTGTCTAAAAACCGTTCATTTTCCTGCACGTCGAGCCGGAGCCCCGGTAACTAAAAATTGGTATGCGGATTATTTCTAACCAGTAAAAAAGACGAGCATTTTTTTTGGAAACTTGCCCTCAATCCAAACGTGAGTGGAGTCGTGGGCAGAATCTAGTCCATAAATAAAATGTATGTAAATAGTTACTTGAATTTCTATTGTTTCTTTAAAATCCCTGATCTTGATGCAGCGAAATAGTATTAGTCCTTGAAAACCCACAGCATTAACCTTCATAGTTTTCTATTGGCAATCAATAGCTTAAGCAATATTTTTTGATTTTTAACACACCTCGGGCTACATTATAGAAATTTTCATACGATTCCTTTTTATTCTGTTATTTAATATAGCTTATGTTCATAAGCGTTAATGTAGGATTTCAACGATAAAAGAAAATTTCTGATCGGTCCGGTAGTTTCAGAGCAAAACAGACAAACAAAACATCAAATCTTTTCTCTTTATAATGTTATACTTATCAGTTAACAGCAGATCCCGGCACAATGTGTCAGAAATTTTATAAGATTGGTACATGAAGTGGTATGTATTATGTACTAAGTAATTTGTTTTATGACCCTGATACTATAGGTAGTAGTAGTAGGTTCAGCCCGCGGTTGCGCCCACGTTCCTGTGGGATAAAAAGTAGCTTTTGTCTAGCCAGACCGTAATCTATTCTTGTTCCAAATTGGGTTATGCATACAACGTTTACCTCTGAGTTTGTTTCGGTGAAAAAGGGGGGTGCTTATTAAGAATACCATACATATATAATAACACGTCTTTTATCCCCGACGTGGTGGCTAGAGAAACACTTAATGCCACTGTACAATGTTACACCCACTTTTTACTATTTATGTTATGAGTCTCATATAATAGGGGGTGAAACTATTATAGCCATATACGGGGCACATTTCCAGATTCCGTCCGACACGGGAATCGAACCCGAAACCCCTTCAATAAGTCTTTGTTATGTTCTTTATCCATATTCTTATTAGGTAAGTATTTGGTTTCAAATAAAAAACAATCCTATTCATACCTAAAATAAGGTTAGTATTAGTACCTACTTACCACTTAATTAAGAATTTTTAATTCCAAAAATACATACAGCAGAATTTACAAAAATTAAACGGTTTACAAAAATGTTCAACAATGGCCCACAATTGGTTGTTGTCGCTTAAGTAAACCCTTTGTGAAACAAGTCTGTTGGGACACGGTCAGGCTGTGGAGCATTACATACCTACATCCCTACATATGTAGGCACCAGTCGGCAACATGAGTGTCCGAACTCTCGACACAATTTTGTTTACTGTCACAGCGGCTACACAGGTAAGTATTTTATATGATTTTCCTTGTAATTTATAGGTACCTAAAACAAATTACCTACGAGCGATAAACAAATTGACTTCACACTGACTCTTTCTACTTTAGATTCATCACCTACATAACATATTTTACATTTGTTATATTAATTAAATGTGGTATTTAAGTAAACAATTAATACAAACAATATCTCTGTATACAGGCATCTTAGAAAAAAACGCGAACAGTTTTCTCTTTACAGGTTCTAAAACCTTGCTTTCAAACTACTACTGGGAATTTCGTAAAGTGATAGATAATTAATTTAGGCAATAATAATATGGTTAAGTGTGTGCAGCTAAAGGTGTCATCTCCCGGGGCGGAGCTGTCTGCATGCACCCTAAAGCGAAGCTAACGCTAATTGACATTGAGCGTCATCTAAAATGAATTACTTCCCAAGGTTTCTCGATACTTAGTTTAGCTACAGCTTTTCTCAGAGTTGAAGTAGCAATTAAATTAGAAGTGAACTAACACGAGCTGCGGACTAATAACTCTAACAAGCCGGTCTTCCTTATCGCAATCAGTTAGCATCGCTGGCTCCGACGCACTGGCAGAATTAATGTGACTTGATATTGGATCTTGATCCCAATAGTTAGGAAACTAGCACGCGAGACTAGTCGCTAATGTTAACTTGCAATGTTTATTGTAAACTGCTCGAACTTAATTAGGAATGTGATTGACATTCGATAGGTTTTTACTATATTTCAATACAGAGGGAGTAGAGGAGCTTACATAACATATTATAACATCACGCCTTTTATCCCCGCAGAGAGAGAAGGCAGAGGTGTACGTAACGGCACTTAATGCCACTGTGCAATCTAACACCCACTTTTCATTATTTTATGCCATGTACCGGGCACATTTCCAGATTCCTTGCTACTACTGAGATGTTTTGAAAAATCCCAGTATTTTTTGCTCGACCTGGGAATCAAACCCGAGGTCCCTTGCCTGGCAGTCACACTTGCGACCACTCGTCCAATGACGCAGTCAGGGTAAAACAGGGTGTTGATAATCAAATATTTCCGAACTTAATTTGGAAAGAAAAATCTATCATTGTCATTTTTACGTTCCCTCTTAGACTTAGATATATACGTAGGTATAGTTTATTCTAGAAATCGGGGGAGTAACTAAAAAAACTTAGTTCAAAAATATGCATCATAGAGTTTACTGGGAAATCTAAAGAAGATTTTCAATAATCGTGAATTTTCAATTTCAAGTCAAGGAGTATCCACGAAATGATTCAAATTCTGTGAATGACTGCACAGTGAAAGCTCAACAGAAT